CAATCACTAGAATGAAATCAATCAAAACAAGAAACCAGAGAACGAAACAGAGTCGATTCTTTGCGAAAATATTGACAAACTCGTAGCCAAATTAACTGAAAAGTGAGAAGGAGAAGATTGTAAGAGGCAAAGGGAATAGCAACAGACACTGAGGAAATCCAGAGAATCATAAAGACATGCTTCAAAAGCCTGCACTCCACCAAATTGGAAAATCTAAGAGAAAACGGATAATTTTCTCAATACATGCCACCTGCCAAAGTCAAATCAAGATCAAATAAGCAATTTAAACAAATCTATAACCACTAGTGACATAGAAGCAGTAATTAAAACTGTACAATTCAAAAAGCCCATGGCCAGACAGTTTTAGTGCAGAACCCAGTATTCCTCGGTTTTCCACACAGTAGAGACAGAATGCTGACCAATTCTTTTTATGAGGCTGCAGTTACCCTGATACCCACACCACATAAAGACACAACAAAGGAAGAATTACAAACTATTTTTTTTATGAACATGAACACAAAACTTCTCAATAAAATACTACCAAACCTAATCCAAGAACACTTCAAAATGGTCATCCACTATAATCAAGTGGGCTTCATTCCAGAAATGCAAGATGCTTCAACATACGTAAATGGATAAATGTAGTCCACTATAAAAACAAAGTGACAGACAAAAACACCACCTAATTAGATACAAAAAGGCTTTGACAAAATCTTAACAGCCTTTTATGAAGAGAAAATATATACTGAAAGGATACAGGTATATATACCAGGACATAATAAATGCAGTTTACAGCAAGCCCATAACCAACATCAACTTAAATGCAGAGAAACCTAAAGCATTTCTACTAAAATCAGGAACAAAACAAGGTTTTCCACTCTTTCCATATCCATTAAATATAGGACTTGTAGTCTTGGCTAGAGCAGTAAGATAACTGAAAGGGTTTTAAGAGGATTCAATCAGGAAGAAGAGAAGTGAAAGTATCTTTTTTGGAGACGATATGATACTAGATATAAATGACCCTAAGAATTTCACTAGGAAACTCCTACAGCTGGCAAACACTCTCACAAAATTAGCTGGTGACAAAATTAACTCACAAAGCTCAGTAGCCTTCCTATATACAAATGACAAAGGGACTGAGAAAGAAATCAGGAAAATAACACCTCTCACATTAGCCAAGAACAAAGTAAAATATCCTGGAGTAAGTCCAACCAAACAAGGGAAAGACTTGTATTATAAAAACTTTACACCGGGCGGTGGTGGCGCACGCCTTTAATCCCAGCACTTGGGAGGCAGAGGCAGGCGGATTTCTAAGTTCGAGGCCAGCCTGGTCTACAGAGTGAGTTCCAGGACAGCCAGGACTACACAGAGAAACCCTGTCTTGAAAACAAAAACAAAAACAAAAAAACCAACAAAAAAAAAGACTTTACAGCACTGAAGAAAGAAATTGAAGAAGATATTAGATGATGGAAATATCTCCCATGATCATTGATTGGTAGAATTGATATAATAAAAATGGTAACTACCAAAAGGAATCTACAGATTCACTGCAATCCCCTCAAAATTCCAACAAAATTTTTGTCATAGGACTTAAACGAACACTTCAATTTCAAATAGAAGCACACACACAACAGAATAACTAAAAACTGGTCTTCTGGGGGTGTCACCCTTCCTGATCTCATTTTGTACTACAGAGCTATGGTAATAAAACAGCATGGTATTGACACAAAAACAGATACATCAATCAATGGAATCAAATTGGAGACCCACACATAAATCTACATTATATGGGCATCTGACTTTTGACAAAGAAACAGAAATACTTTCTAGAAAAAAGATAGCATCTTTAACAAATGGTGCTGGTCAAACTGTTTTGTTGCAGGTAGAAGAATGCTTAAATGAACCATATTTCTAGTCTTATCCAAAACTCAACTCTGAGTGGATCAAAGGCCTCACCTTAAAACCAGATACACTGAACCTGATAAAAGAGAAAGTGAATAGCCTTGAACTCATTGGCATGGGAAAAGACTTTCTAAACACAGACATTAAGATTAACAATAAATATGACCTCATGAAACTGAAAAGCTTCTGTCGAGCAAGTGACACTGTCATTCACACAATGTGACAGCCTACAGTATGGGAAAATATTTTTTGTTGATATTTTTGGTTTGTTGTTTTGTATTTTACCAACTACACATCCAATAGAAGGCTAATATCCAAACTATATAAAGAACTCAAAACACCAGGTATCACAAAAAAAAAGAAAAAAGCGTAAAATGAGATGCAGCTCTAAACAATACTCTAAAGAGGAAACTCAAATGGTTGAGAAACACTTCTTTACAAAAAGTTTAACATCTTTAGTCATCAGGGAAATAAAAAGATATAATAGTCAATACCTTTGTCACACCCACGCTATGCCTCAGTGGTAAGCATTCAAAGCAATGTTTTCTGTGGCTTTTCAAAGTAGTCTTTTGTATTTCTCTAAAAGAAAATAAATGGAATATATATCATGTATGCCTGGATTTTTTTTTTTTTTAAGATATTGGCTTAGGTTTTACTGGGACTGGCAAGACTAAAACTTTCAGAGTAGACCAGGAGGCTGGAGACCCAGGGAAGAGCTAATAGACAAACAAGTCTATGGCAGTTGAATAGTAGGATTCCATATTCCTTGGGGGATCTCAGTCTTGCTCTCTTAAGAACCTCAGTTGATTGGGAGAGTCCATCCATGTTCTAAAGAGTAATCATCTTTTCTAAAGTCTAGTGATTTAAACACTAATCACATCTTTTTAAAATATTACCTTCATAGCAAATGGAGGGTAGTGTTTGACCCAAACCTGGATATTATAAACAAGCCAAAGAGTAGCATAACCATTGCACCCGTGAACAAGGGCTTATATCAATATCCACATTTATTTTTAATGGCAATACTAGCATTTCATAATACTCAGGCACACACATACTTCATAACTCTGTCTTGTAACAACTTTCTGTGGCTTGAAGGAATGGATTTTTTAAATACATAAAAACTGGGGCTAGAGAGATGCCCATACCAGTTAAGGTGTTTGGCCGCTATTGAAAAGGCTGAATCCTGACCACCTACATGACCACTGACAACTGTCTATAACAACAGTATCAGAAGAACTGACACTCTTTTCTGGCTCCCATGAATACTACACGCACCTGGTGCATAGACACACACACACTCCTTCTCCCCTCTCCCCTCTCCCCTC